GTGGGGCGATGGGCCGACGTGAACGTGATGCGGCTTTACGACATCGCTACTGCACTGCGTGCTTGGAACAGGCCGTTCTTGATGGCAGGGGATTTCAACTGCGATCCGAAGCATCTCATGGAGTACGGCTTCTTGGATTTCATCCCTGCTGCAGCGGTCGCGAGGCCCCCTGCCCCTGCAGGGTGCCTTCCTGTGGGCACGTGCCGCAGCGCTCAGGGAGCTTACTCGACCATCGACTACTGGCTGGCCAGCCTGTCCATCGCGAGCTCGCTGACGCCGCCCCTGCCTGTGGATGGCTGGCCTGCGTCGCCGCATTTCCCTATGCTGACGTCCCTCGACGCGCGGGCCAAGGCGGTCAAGTTCCTCGTCCTGCGGGCGCCAAAGGCCTTCCCGAAGGCGGCCCCGACCGAGGATGTCACACCGGTGTTGGCGGGTGGCACCCGCGACCTCATCGAGGCTGATGCGGCACGTGGGGGAGTCGCGAGTCCTGTTCAGGCTCAGGCGCGACTGGATCACCTGTACGCCGAGTTTGCGAATCTCGCGGAGGAGGAGCTGCTAGTGCGCTACGGCATCCCTGCGCGCGACGCGGCTCGCTACTGCGGCCGTGCTGATAGGGTGGCCTACTGCTGGCGCCAGGCTGGAGGGGCGCCCGCAGCGGCGAGACCTGCCGCACCTCCCGACGCTCGACGTGCTCGGCGTCTGGCCCAGGCTGCGGACGACGCGCTTCGTGCAGGTCTGCAACCCCTGGATTTACTTCGGCGCTTGGACAGGCTTGTCTCTCTGGGCGCCGAAAGGTCTTTTCGATCGCTCGAGTGCCAGCACGTGGTGGCCACGCTGCGAGGCATCCTGCCGCTGGCACGCGAGGTCGTTGAGGCGTCCCCCGCCGCATTCCAGGTGCATCTGGATCGAGCTGCCCTGTTGCATTCAGGTGGCAACGCTGTGCTTTCTCCTGTTGGTCTCATGGGATTTGGTCTCACTGGCATTCAGAGCCTACTGATGGATGCTGTTTACTTTGTCATTGGGTGGCTCCGTTCTTTCGCTGGTGATCTGGAGCAGGCGGCTATTGCCGAGCGCAGGCGGGATTTTGCACGTTGGGCCGCTTGTTGTCGTGAGTCACGGATCAAGCCACTGTTCAGCTTCACGAAGCCGTCTGGTGTTCTGCATTCCCAAGTGGTTCGGCATCAGAGGCCTTCCACCTTGGCTCAGGATGTTGCAGCTGATCAAATGGATGGTTGGTCGGGCATCTGGAACGCACGCCCTGCATCCGAGGTCCCCACCCGCGGTCAAGTGCAAGGAGCGGCTGCTGGGCCCGATGATTACGTGGTTCGGCATCTCGCGGACTTCCCTGACACGGCTCAGCTCTTTGAGGATATTCGACGCTTGCCGCGCGCCTCTTTGCCTGTGCCTAAGATTGGGCAGTTGCGTGACGGCGGCAAGGTCCTTCAAGTGGCACACGGGACAAGGTGCTGACCGACTGGCTCCTCGCTCCCTCAGCCTCCTCACGGACGAGACCCTTTCGCTGCTCGTCTATGTACTTTGGCTGGCGGAGCACTGGGAGCGCTGGCCCACGCAGCTGGCCGCCGTCCACATTGTGCTCTTGGCGAAGCCCAAAGGTGGATGGCGGCGCATCGCGCTCTTGCAGGCGACCTACCGTGCGCGGTCGCAGGTCCGCAGCGAGCAGCTGCGGGCCTGGCCGCTGGAGCACGACAGGCCGTTCTTCGCCCTGGCCTCTGGCAAGACCACTCTGGACGTGGCCTCGCGTGCCCTCGTGAGGGCCGAAGCTGCACTGGCGGTCGAGGACGGCGTCGTGACGGCCATTGTTGATGTCGAGAAGTGCTTCGACCGCATCTGCTGGCGGCGGTTGGTCTCAGCGGCGGCCCAGCACGGCTTCCCGCGCCAGCTGCTCTCCTGTGCGCTGGCGATGTATCGTTCGCCTCGCAGGCTCGTGTGGCAGCAGGCTACATCGTACGCTGTAACGATGCCTCAAGGCGTCCTTCCAGGCTGCAAGTTCGCGATGGCCCTTGTGCAGTTGCTTATGCTCGCGTCCATGGATGACTTTGTCAGCGCGGTCGGTCTCGACATTCCTGCTCGGCTGGGTTTCTTTTTTTCTTTGGACATCTTCGCTGACGACTTAACCCTGCAGGTGGTGGCCAGACGGACTGATATATGCAGGATCGCCACTGACGCGGTGGCTTTGCCCTGTGACACCCTCCTAATTCTCGGCCTCCCCGTGGCGAAGTCGAAGGCGTTTCTCACAACGTCTGACGACTCCACCGCCCCCGCTGTGGCTCGGTTTCTGCGGAAGTACGGTTTCCAGGCCCAGTCTTGGTTGGAAGTCTTGGGCCTCGAGGTGGCCGCTGGCAAGCGCGTTCGCGCTCGTGTGCTTCGGTGTCGGGTCGGTCGGGTTTCGAAGCGGGCCCGTCACATCAGGAGGCTGAGCCACCTCGGGGCGAAGTTCAGACAGGTTCCCAAGGCTGCAGTCGGCCCAGCTATTACCTACGGCTTAGGTTTTCTGGGAGCTGGGCCGCACCTGATCAAGCGTATGACCTCTCTGGCGAAGCTGGGCTGGCAGGCCATTCCCTCTGGGGCTTCGCACTGGATCGCGTCGAGATTGGAAGAGGGCTCTGATTTTCAGCCAGCGACGATTGCCATTGTTGGACATGTTTTCAACTGGGCTTTGATGATTCAATCGGGTGAAGTTGATCACGCCACGCTGCAGACGGCATGGCGCTCTCAGTTCTTGAAGGTGGCTTCTGTTGATTGGCGAGAGAACTGGAAGCTGGTGGCAGGCCCAGCTGGTGCTTTCGCTCGGTCTGTGACGTACTTGGGCTGGACTGTTTCTTCTGCTTTTAGGGTCCGTACTCGTTCTGGTGAAACTCTTGACTTACGTGAGGTGGCCCCGTCTGGAGTCAAGTGGTTGGCGCTCAAGGACTTTGAGGTCGTGGGCTGGTACCAATGGGCTGCCAGGCCAGAGGTGATGCCAGAACTCGATGGTCCATCTCACAAGGACCCAGCGGGCGCATGGTTGAGCCCCATACGTGCGTTGCTACACCCAGGCCCCAAGGCCAAGCGTTGGGCCTTGGATCCGCTGTCTCGGGCAGCGCTGCGCACTGTCGTCATGGGCGGCCATTTCACGCAGAAGCGATTGCACCGATATGCTTACGCTCACTGCCCCTACTGCAGGAACTGTCCTGGGGTCGAGGGAACGGCTCACCACAGGTACTGGCGATGCCACGTTTTTGATGACATGCGTGAGTATGCGGTCTCTGAGACTACGCTGGAGGCGGCAAGGAGGGCACCACCTGGGGATCTGCTCTACTCTCGTGGGCTGTACCCCAACTCCTTCCTGCCTGCCTTGCCTCCCAGAAACGACTCTGGTGTCTGGCGTTATGATCGTGGAGCTCGGGCAGAGGGACATTTTGTCGTCACTGGCTCGGTGTTCACTGACGGCTCGTGCAAGAAGTTGCTTCACTGGGACGCGGTTGACCGTGCGGGCTGGGGTTTCGTGGTTGTGGGAGATGCTCGATACTACGGAGCTGCTTTTGGGCCGCTGCCTGGCCATCGCCAGACTTCTGCTCGGGGCGAGCTGTTCGCCGTGATTCAGGTGCTATCCGTTGGCGTGGCTCCGCTGCACATCTTCACGGATTACATGCCGCTGCTAGAAGGGCTGGCGCGTGGCAAGCGCTGGTGCCTCAATCCGAGGCGTGAGAACGTGGATCTATGGCGTCGTCTCTTCCACCAGCTGGATGGTCACGGTTTTTTTTCCATTGCTGGGGACCTGGAGTGTCCGATTCGGATCTCGTACGTCAAAGGCCACTCCCGTGAGGACTCGTGGCATCGCCGTGGCAATGGCTTGACAGATCAAGCGGCGAAGCGGGGTCGTCAGCTGCATGATCTGCCTCAGGGCATCGTCGAGCACTACACCGACTCGCTGAATACGGTCAGGTCGGTCGCGACCTGGATTGCCAACGCCTCCAGGATGGTTTTCGACGGCACCGTGGCCTCCGACCGCGTGGACGTCCCTCGGCGTCGGGACACGGCGCTGCGCGGCCGCTGGGCGCAGCTGGCTGCAGCAGGCGCTGGCGGCAGCGGCGCTGGGGTCGAGGGCGGCGGTGAGGGCCCGCCCAGAGGCGAGCAGGCCTGCCCCCCTCAGCACCTGCATCGTGTGCGGCTGAGGGGTAGGAAATATAGCTGTGATCGCTGCTCCGCTTACGCGGTGACTCCTAAGGGTGCTGCGAGGCTTAGAAGGGCCATTTGTAGGGTTGCGGAGGCGGCGGCCCTCTGGGGCCTGGAGGGTGTTTCGCCTGAGCCTTCCTCGACTGCGGCCCCTGCTGGGCCAAGGGGCCCTGGCGGGCCAAGCGGGAGCGTCTCGGGCCCCTCTGCGGCTAGCCCCTCCTTGGAGCTTCGGGTTGTTGAAGCCCCAAGCGGGCCAGAGAGGTCGCCGCCCCTCGCGACTGAGGGTCTTGAGCGGTCCTTGGCCTTTAAGCGGGTGAGGTTTCGGGTGGAAGGTGCGGGAGAGGATCAGCTGGATGCCGAGTTGGGGGAAGCGTGTCGGCGCGCCAAAGAGGCACGCCCCCTGGGCTCGCGAGAGCTCGTGCCTCCTCCTCCTCCTCCTCCACCTCCTCCTCCTCCTCCCTCTCCCTCCTCCTCCTCCTCCTCATCCTCCTCCTCCTCCTCCTCCCCCCCCCCTCCTCCTCCACCTCTTCCTCCTCCTCCTCTCCTCCTCCTCCTCTTCCTCCTCCTCCTCTCCTCCTCCTCTCTCCTCCTCCTCCTCTTCCTCGTGCCTCCTCCTCCTCCTCCTCCCTCCCTCCTCCACCTCTCCTCATCCTCCTCCACCTCCTCCTCCTTGTGCCTCCTCCTCCTCCTCCTCCTCCTCCTCCTCCTCCTCCTCGCCTCCTCCTCCTCCTCCTTCTCCTCCTCCTCCTCCTCCCTCCCTCCCTCCCTTCCTCCCTCCCTCCCTCCATTCCTCCCTCCCTCGGCGGCGGCCGCCAGGGCCTGGCCTCGGGGTCGGCCGGCACCGCGCGCGGGCGGAGCAGCCGCTCGAGCTCCTGTCGGGCGGCGGGGCCGGCCTCCGGCAGGAGGACGAGAAGGAGGAGGAGCAGGAGGAACGGGAGGAGTAGGAAGAGCAGGAGAAGGAGGAGGAGGAGGAGGAGAAGGAGAAGGAGGAAGAGCAGGAGGAGGAGGAGGAGGAGCAGGAGCAAGAGCTGTGGCCAGATATCCCAGTTGGGCCACTTCCTTCGTTCCCCTTGCCCTTCCAGCCCTGGTTCCAGGTTGCCCCAAAAAGCCCCCAACAGGCCTCCTATGGAGCCCCACGATGGCCACAAAAAGCCCCCAAGAGGCCCCCAGGAGGCCCCCAAGAGGTTCAACAACTGCTTCCAAGACGCGCCCGAAACGCCGCCCACGACACCACATCAGCCATCCGAGCGGCCTCAGACCCGCAACCAAGGCACGGTGAAGGATGTGCCGAAGGCCATTCGAAAGTCATTCTTCGGGTGGTTTGACAGATGCCCGCCGTCTGAATACGTGGGCTCTCGCCCGTTCCCCCATGCGTGCACGAAGAATACCGGGAATGTCAGCCCAAGAGGCCCCGAGAAGGCCCCCAAGAGCAACCCATCAAGCCCCCAAAGAGCTCCAAGAAGCCCCCCAAAGGCGCACAAGAGGCCCTCAGGAGCAACACACAACAACCGCCAGTTTCCCAAGGGGTTGGCGGTGTGGCGTAAGCCCAAGAACCAAGATCCTGCGCAGGCACCACGTGATCCCTGTACTTTTGGGACTGGGACGGGGGGTGCTGGCATATTGCCTGCCGTATGCAGGCCCACCAGGCACTACAGTATGATGGCTACCGCGTCGCGATTAAGCATTGGCTTTCGACCAGGGTGGTTGGGGCCGACACGCTTCCCGACGTGTACTGCCGCGTGCGCAGTCGCACCTGGCACACTCTGCGCGTGCCCCGAACGTGGCGCACATGGCACGGCTGGAGCATTGCGGCACACATGGCGCACGTGGATCACGTGGCCCATCTGGCGCACCAGACGTGCCTGGCCCGCTTGGGCAACAGGGGGGCCTTGCGCACCTGGCGCGCGTGGCGCGCCTGGCACGCGTGGCGCACCTCGCCCCCAACGTTGCGCACATGGGGTCTGCTCTGGCTCCGATTAGCTGTCCATCCAAGGACGACCGCCAGACATGCTGCGGCGGAGGGCGAGTGGGAGTGAGCGAGACGGCTTGTGGGCGGGGAGGGTGTCTTGACCCCTCCCCCCACCCCTCACCCTGGGTTTGGAATGGGGGGGGTCGCGAGGTGTCAGAAGGTCTTGTTTGTTCTTTTGCTGGCCCATTCATCTTACTCCAAGACAAGCTTGAGAGAAGGCTGGGGCCTGGTCCCAGGCAGCAACTCCGCACAGACAGATATCGAAACCAACAGACGTTTGGCTTTGGTGAGTTCATGGGTCAAAAGGGTTAATTAATAGAAAAACACCTAGAGGAGAGAAGGGCGGTCTGTGGGTGGGCGACTGGCTGGGCTACCATGAGCCTATACATTAACGCATCAGCAATGTGCAGACCAAACCGATACACGATCTACTAGGCCAGCTCATTCTACTCCAGGTCACGCTTGAGAGAAGGCTGGGACCCGGGTCCAGACAACAGCTCCGCACAGACAGACATCGAAAACAACAGACGTTTGCCCATATCCACGGCCAAGTTCACGAGTGATCTGGTTCAACCGCAAACCCTAGGAACGCTGAACCTTACAAATATTCCAGATGCGGGCGAGCCGGCGGGACGCGGCAGCGCTGGCCAAAGCTGTGGCGACGACGCGGCAGAGGGGCTTGGGCAAGCTAGATGCGCTCGCGTCATATCTGTCGTCATACCCCTCCCTCCCAACCCTTACCATGGCGCAGATGTCCTCTTTATGCGCGCAGGCTGATGTAGAGCAAGGCAATGCTCCCGAGAGAGCCTGCCATGCATCGTAAAGCACGGCATAGCATAGCGTAGAAGAGCGCGGCAAGCCAGAGCATGACATAGCATGGCTTGGCATTGCGCAGTGTGCATCTCATCACAAAGCGTAACATCGCAAAGCATGGCATCACACACCGTGTACGAAAAGAAAAGGCCTGTCTGGAATCCCGGCTCCATGTCCCGCGCAACCGTGCCTGCCCGATGTGGGCGCTTTTGAATGCCAAGTGCCGTCTGGTAGCGGCACTGTAATACTGTAAGACCCCCCCCCTTCTTTCGACACGCTACCTTGCGTTCCCCGAGCCCCCTTCCAAGTTTCCCGGGGTTCCCCGACAGCTCTGCGCGAGGCGTGGCGGATGGCCCGAAGACTTCCGGAAAACTCCAGGGAACGCCCAGAAATTGCCGACGGCGACAACGACGCAGACGACGACGGCGGCGGCGGCAGGGGAAGCCGCGGCGGGCGAAGACGGATGTCAGGGAATAGTACGGCGGGCTGCCAGGCTCGATGGTCTGGCTTCCTGGAACAACCGGCTCACACTGGGCCCCTGGACCCCTCAAGGGGTCCAGTCAGATCGGCGCTGTCCAGCCGGATCATTTTTAAGGTGCCCGGGGCCCGACGAAGGGGGGGGCCTTCTGCGGCCCAACAAATCAACGAATTGGCACCGAACTCGTGATTAATCACGTCCGATGGTTTTTTCGGTGGTAATTTTCTGGATTCTCTGCCACTTTCGGAAGGACCGACAACCATGCCGTGGCATGACGTTGGAAATAATGACGTCAGCGTTGCAGCGGGAGCACGATTCGGAGGACGCGTAGCCTGACATAGCATGGCGCGGCGACGCCCCAAAGTGGGGGTTTCTGAAGCCCGAAAAATCAACGAATCGACACCAAATCTGCAGCAATCACTTCCGATTGTTGTTTTCGGTGGCGATGTTCTACAAGTCCGGGGCCTTTTTGGAAAGGTCGAAAACCATGCCGTGGCATGGCGTCGGAAATAAGGGCGCCAGCGTTGCAGCGGGAGCACGATTCGCGCGGAAATGAAGCCAGCGCTGCAGTGGAAGCACGATTCCGAACGAGCGGCAGCCCGAAAATGAGGCCAGCGCTTCAGCGAAGGCATCATTTGAACACAAACCAAGCAAAACCCAAATCCCGGGAATCCTGCGGGAAAAAAATACGCGGAGGGGGGGCGAACAGTTCCCAGGCGTTACTAGGGGAGAGAGGAGTAGTGCTCATATTGTGTAATTGCATAGGCTCCGTGACAGCAGCCCAAAAGCGTCCCCCAGGAGCTTCCCCTTCCACGACCCGGTGCCTGCGTTGCGTGCGATCGCACAAGCCTCGGCCTTGACAGCGACGGCCGAGAGAAAGAGGAGCCACGTTCCACAGACGTGACCGTGCCATCTCGCGCCAAGGCTCGCCCCACATACAAACATCTGCGATCGCATCTTGCGCGCCAGATGGCTTGACTCTGAGCGGGCGCGCGTTCCCAGAGGCGAGGGTAAACTGGGTTCTCGAGACCGCCAAGGGCACCTCTCGAGCGCGCCAGCCTAGCCAGAGACGTCGAGACCTTCGTCGGCCCACTGCCCAAATCCACTTTCATCTGGTCAGCGGCGGGCAGACCAGGAAGACCGAACGGGGAGTCTTTGGAACGAAGCGGTCCAAGACTGGATTTGGTCAGGCGCCTGGCGAGCGGAAAAGAGGTGCAGGGAGTGCAGGGCCAAAGAATCTGAACCTCGGCGCTAAGGATGCATCCTTTCAGCGTCTCGGCGGCCGCAGGCCTGGCGAAATCAAACATGCCTCCTCAAACGATGGCCCACTCGATCGCGGTGGCCCCGCGCGCGCGCAGGGCGGCGGCGAGACGCCCCGAACCTGAGAAGCCCTTCGCGGCGAGCCCCTCGCGCCCGAGCCGGGCGCGGCCGAGAGCGGCGCGCGGGCGTTCTCGAAGGGGGCGGGCAGCCTCAGCTCGCTGAGCTGCAGCCGACGTTGAAAGACTGCGGGCGCTCGAGCGACCCGCGGCGCCAGCTGGCCGTGCTTCTCGCGCCTCCGCGCGGAGAGGCGCGCCCGCCAGCGGCCGCGCTTGGCCACCTCCTCCAGGGACCGTCGGCGAACGATCCTGTCGTGGCCGGCCCCGCCGCGGCTCGGGCAGTAGAGGGCCGCGCCCAGGTGCCCCAGCCCCAGAGCGCGCAGCGCGCCGTCGGACTCGGCGCGCAGATGAGCGAGACTCCAGAGCCGCTCACGATCCCCCCCCCCGATCGCCTTCAGCTCGCGCAGGACCAGCGCGGCCAAGGCCCTGTCTTGCCAGGGGCCGCAAGCGCCGAATGCAGCAGCAGCAGCGCCCACCAGCGGAAGCACCCGGCGAGGCCCCGCGCAGGCGGAACCAGCTGAAAGCCCCGCATCGCCAGCAACTCTCCTGGACGGAGGTAGCAGTGGAACACCAGGTTCAGGGCGCGCGCCATGAAGCGATCCCCGCAGAGCAGCAGGATCTCCAGGACGCCGCACAGCACCAGCCAGGGTAGCGGCGGGCGCGACTGCCCGGGCCGCCCCTGCCTCCAGCCCTGCAGGGCCCGACAGCTCCGAGGCAGCGCCGCCCGGAGCGGGCGCCCCAGCCCCAGTCGGGCCCGCAGGAGAGCCGACGGCAGGCGCGAAGCGCCACTCGGCCGAGCACCCGTCGCGAACTCGTCGTGCAGGAACAGCGGCGGGGCGTCGCCCCGCTCCGTCGCTGTCCAGGAAGGCAACGTCGTCAGACCCAGCCAGCAGCAGAAGCCATGCAGGGATCTCAGGTAGGTCTGCTGCGCCGTCGGCCGCGCGGGACTCCAGCTCCCGGCCCGACGCGCTCGAGCCCAGGATGTGGTGTCAAGGGAGAAGCCGGCGGGCTGGCCAGCCGAGCGAGCTCGCCCGCGGGGCGACCCGCGGGCTTCGCGCGCGGCCCCGCGCCGTCGGCGCCGACCGAAAGGCTCGCCGCTGGCTCGCAGAGGCGTTCGGCGCCGCGGGCCGCGTGGGCGCAAGGTCGCCGACCAACGCAGGCCCCGACAAGTCGTGCGTCGCCAAGCCGCGCTCCGTCGGCGTCGCCCCCATTGCCACCCCGCCCCGATCGGCGGCCCCCTTGTCCGCCCCGCGGGCGGCAATGTTGTCGATGTAGAGGGGGGCGCCCAGCTCGGAGGCGGCCGTAGAGCGGACGAGACGGCGGCTGCAGAGCCACCGTCCGTCACCGTCGGGATTCAGCAGCTCGACGCCTGAACCGGCGCCGCGGCCCAGCCCCAGCCCACGGGAACGACTCGGACCTTGAAATCCACGAAGTCTGCCCCAGACAGGAACAGACCGCACAGGCGCGCAGGCAACTGCCGCTGGCGAATGACCAGCAGCGCGAAGTCGGCCCAGAGGTCCGCAGGCAGAAAGAATTGATAATTGCAATTCTCGGCATCACCCTCGGACATCCACAACTGCTTGCCGCGAGGGGGGCCCGGGTCTCCAAGACCCCCAGGATAAGCGAGAAGCACGCGATGAGAAGGCAGAGACCTTTCAATCGTAATTCTCGGACCGAAGATGACCCGCAGCGAGCCGCCCTTGTCGCGGGCAAGGGAAACCAAACAAATATGCGAACCTCGTTCGCGGGCTCGACGACGCCAGCACCAAAGGCACTCGCTCAAAACTCAGCGAACTTGCTGGGCGACCGCGAGAGGATGGGGCACGTGGCAGATCCCGCCAGCGGACGCTGCAGGCAGCTGATGGGCACGGCCAGGCCACTATCCCCCAGCGACTTCTGGTAATGGCACGGCAAGCAGTCGACGAGATCGATCGTCTTGTTGCCGACCTCAGGAAGGGCCAGCCTGCCGCGCTGGCAGGTAGCAAACTCTCCAGCGACGGCGCCATCGCTGGCGCAGCCGAAACCGCAACCCCGCCGCGTAGACCACGCCCCCGAGCAGTGTCGTCGGGCGGAGCGGGGACAGAATGGCAGGCCCAGGCCAGAGTGGCCAACGCCTGGCGCTGGACGGCACAAGACAGCACCTCGGGGCCCCAGCTCTCTCCGCGACCGCCCAGCGCGCGCAGCGCCGCCCCCCCCCGCTGCAGCCGCGGCCCCGCATGCCGTCGGCGAGCTCGCCGGCGGCCCGCGCAGCGCGGCGCCCCCGGCACCGTCGGCGACGCCCCCATCCAAGAGCGACGTCAGACAGCGGCCAGGAGGCCGCGGCGCCAGGCCGCGGGCCCGCGCGAGGGCTTCGCCCGATGCACCGCGGCCGCTCGCCGCCCTCCTCGAGCGAGCCGCCCCCCCCCGGGCGACGGTCGGAGGCCCGCCCCCCCGGGCCGGGGGCGGCCGCCCCCGCCCCCCCGGCCGCTCTTCTGAAGGGGCGGACGCGCGAGCAAATGCACGCAAATAACAAGATCCCAACATTTGTCATCAAATGTTCTGGGTCCGCTCCTCATATTTTGACATACGTTCTAGGGAATCGACGATTAATTGTGACTGTGCGTTTGTTTCCCTCCTGATCTTCTTCGGCGGCCCCTTGGGGGGCTCGATCTCGTTCTGGCCCATGCCGACGGCGTCCGTCGCGGCGATCTCGGACGAGCGGGCCGGGCGGCCTTCCTCGTTGGCCTTGCGCCTCTCCTGCAGGACGGCGCTCTCTTCCGACGATTTCTGCGACGCCCGGGCCTGGAGAGCCGGCGCCGCCAGCGCCCTGCCGCGACGCCGCTCCTCGCACATGAGAAAGCGATCGATGTCTAGGTTGTTGACGTCACCGCCAACGGTCGCGTGGACGAGCGCGCGCGCGTACTTCTCCTGCAGCTGGCAGCGGCGACCCGCCAGCTCCAGGGAAGCGAGCTCCCCGAAGTTCAGCTGGTCGTACGTGAGGGCGTACTCGAACTGTCTGCTGAGGGCCTCGTGCGCCCCCCAGTCGGCGGCCCCGAGACTGAGCAGCTGACGCCGCCAGTAGTGCCGGCGGACTAGGGTCAGCTCCTGGCGCGCAATCTCCCTGGCAAGCCACTCCGCCGCCCGCGGCCCGCTGATGGGGCCAATCCTGGAAGCTCGTAGTCGTCGTCAGTGCAGCAGCCTCCTTGTACGAGCGGTAATGATTCGCGACCGTCTCGTAGCGGACAGGAAGTGCACGCAACTCAACGGCTCGGCGAGCAAGATCTCCATCACCTCGAGGAATCCGCATCTGCTCACCAGCCTTGAAGAATCGACAGGCGCCCGCGACACCCTCGGACTTCACCACGCCACGGCCCTCCACGCAGGTGGCCTCGTCCAGAAGGTCCGACGGCACGCGCTCACCCCGGCGGGCCCCGCCACGCGACCCCATGAAGCACCACTCGCCGTCGCCGAGGCACCTGTCTCCGCCAGTGCCGAGAGCTGCGGGGGAGTCCAGCGGGCCCGGTAGCGCGGGCGGTCCGCCGGGGAAGGGACAGCACGTTCGGCCAGCGCCAGCTCCTCGCCCTCCACCTGCAGGCGGCCACTCTCCGCCTTGCTGAGACGACCTCCGACCCTGCGACGAGCTGCGAAACAAGTGCACGGAGCCACGAGACCAGAGGGACCAGCCCTTCGACGCATTCCTCCAAATCCTCCAAGTAGGTATCCATATCGGGGGTCGCGACGATCCAGCTCGAGCCCCGTACGTGAGCGCACAGCAAGCGCTCATGCCATAAGAGCTCGGTCGGGTCCTGGTCGTAAGAGACGAGCACTCGCTGGCCCTGACGGAGAAGACTGGACATCCTGCTGCTCTAACTTGACGGTCTGCTCCAGCGCTCCGTGCCGAAAGACAGCCGAGGCAAAGGGTCCGCGACGATGAGACCAGGCGCCGACGATGCTGGCGGAGACGACCGCCCCCGCGGAGAAGGCCAGCAACGAGGCGAGGAAGGCCACGGACGAGGGATGGCCCGAGTACGCGGGCACGGGACACGGCGCGGGCACCGTGAGGTTCGCTTCGCCGGCCCGCACCTCTGGCGCTAGGCCTCGAACAGCCGAATCAGCTCCCGATCCACCGAGAAGCCCACGCCAAGGTCAGCGTTGCAGATGCAGCGGGTGCCGCACCAGGCAGCGCCGAAACGAGCGAGGCCTCCAACCGCGCCCGCGGCGCGGCTCGCCCACTCCATGGGAGGGCGAACTCCCGACTCGCTGGGCTACCATGGGCCAATACATTAAAGAGATCAGAAATATGCAGGCCAAACCGATACCCGATCTACTGGGCCTCGGCGAGGAGGTCAGCATCCTTCGTCGTTTTAAGGTTTTGCCCACATGTTGGCCTCCTGGGGGGGGGGGCCCTAATTGACGGCCCCTCATGTGGTCGAACTCCTCCAGGATGGCCCCTGGCCCCCGAAGCTCCCTGTCTTGGGGCGGCCCCGAAAGGTGGCCAGAAAACCCCAAGAGACTCCCAAAAGAACCCTCAAGATGCCCTCAAGATGCCCTCAAGAGGCTCCCAAGAGACCCCACAGATCCCCCCAGAGGCTCCCCTGAGACACCCAAGACGCCCCAAGACGCACCCGGGACTGCCAAGAGACCCCCAAGACACCCCAAGAGCACCCCAAGAAGCTCTCGGAGGAAATCCGACGAGACTCTGAAAAGCATCCAATAGGCATCTGGCCTTTCTGCTCGCCCTCCTCCTCCTCCTCCTCCTCCTCCTCCTCCTCCTCCTCCTCCTCCTCCTCCTCCTCCTCCTCCTCCTCCTGTTCCTCCCCCTCCTCGTCTTCCTCATTTGCCTAGTCCTCCTCCCTCCTGGAGGAGGAGGAGGAGGAGGAGGAGGAGGAGGAGGAGGAGGAGGAGGTGGTGTAGGCGCAACAAGGCGGCCCGCCGCCGCCGCGGGCTGCGCGAGCCCGCGAAGGCTGCGTCAGGTGCGGGCCCGGTCCTGCTGTGGCAGCGGCATCGCCTCCGCCTCGCCGCCCAGCGGCGAGTTGATGCGGCTACGCCTCCGGCTTGCTGGGGCAAAGAAGGACAAGCCAGCTCTGAAATCATCGGAGCAGGGCCAGTCGATCCTCGATCCTCGGTCCTCGATCCTCGATCATCCTGAAGGTTTCTCGTCGCCACGGCTGGATCCGTCTGGGGGCCGGTTTTGAGCGGACGGGTTTTTTTCTCGAGGGGGAGATCCCTCGCTGGTCCTTGGGAGCTTCCCTCATGCTTGATCTGTTTACGGCTCCCTGCCCTCGAAGTCATCGGGTTGGACGAAAACGGGCGCCCAGGAAACTCTGAAGAGACCAGAAGAGGCCCACAAAAGGCCCAACATAATTTGTTGGGCCTCCTGTGGGCCTCTGAACGGTGATGGCAGTGATGTTGGTTCGGAACGGGGCATGGCTCTGGAGGGCGAGCGCGGAGATGCAATTCCCTGGCTAGCAGCGCCAATAGTGAGAGCTGCCGAACTCGCGCGTGCTACAAACATCAACGGCATGTGCGGATACGTTGGCATACGTTGGTTAATCTCGCTTCTGCCCTTGCCCGACAAGGAACTCAACGTGCGCCCGTCCAGGGCCCCCCGCGGGCCACGGCCCTCGACGCCATCCAGTGGCGCGGTGGGTTCGGTCCCGATTGGTTGGCAAGCATTGACAGATGCCCCCAGAGCCCAGAGGGCCCCCAAGAGGCCCTAAACGGCCTCACCCATTGACCTCATCCCTCTTCTGGGAGCCGGCTGGCTGGCGTAAGCCTCTTGAGTAACTGGGTTGAACGGAAAATGGGGGATAGCAACGAGGGGGGGGTTCGGGAATCAGCTGCATGCAGCCGCCAGCAGCGACCATGTACCGAGGGGAGCACCCGGCGCGGCGGAATCAGGCTGCACGCAGCAGATTCCGTACGCTCGGACCTACGCAACACAAAAGACATGCTTCAAGAACGTGAAACCCTCCGCCGGCCAAACTGAAGAACAC